AGGAGGAAATACAATTTGGCTACCAAGGTAGTAGGGACTTGAAGTGAAATGAATTAATTTCCTAGTGGTTAATAACTGGAGGAATTATGGACTATGAAAGGATGCTAAGCAGAAGTATGACAGCATGAATTGTAGTTTATAGAATAGCCTTGGTGGTATTTCCAAGCAAGGAGCAAATAAAGTGATGATAATTAGGTGGCTGTGACGTAGAAATGGTTATTGTCTCTCTTTGTCCTCACAGACAAGTCACCAACATAAATAACAGGCACAAATTGACTCCTAGTCATTTTCCTGTCCTGCCCTATTGCTGAGGCTCTGTGGGGTCAGTGGGAATACAAAAGAATGTGATAGGTTTGGATGAAATGACAGGAAAATAGAGTGTTTGTTTGACAGGTTGGTGAGTGGCTTCATGGTGTGAAATACGGGAGGATGGAAAGAGGGATCAAATGTGAACACCCAAGGAAACTGCTCAGGTCAAGGATGTGACTTTTTAAGTGGATTGAGTAGCTGAGGGAGGGTGAACAGGTGAGAGTAGCTGATTAAAGTGCTGTTTTGTAATTATATTGTTCTAGACATATTATCTGTTTCAGACTAATTGAGATGGCTTGAATTAAAGAAAAAATATTTGCTCCTGTTTTCTTCAGAGACAGTGCTTCATTTTTCAGTGTAGGTTACTCCAAATTGTTTCAAATGGGTTGGATTTTTTTTTCTCTCAACCTATGTGCATAACCTTTACTGTCACTAATGAGAACAGTTTGCATCATGAACCTACCATCCCTTTCAGCCTCTCCCTCTTAAATCATAGTGCATTAGTGCTATTGAATAAAGAATTTTCTGAAAACATTATCCAACTTGTATATTGTATTGACTTTCTGCTTCCAAGTTTAGCTTTCATGCTAATATGAGTGCTGTTTTCTCCATGGAAATTTGCACTTTGGCACTATGCCAGTGTGTTTTGTGCAAGAATGAGACGAAAAGAATTTGTACTCAAATTGTTTATAGTAGATTTGCAATACTTACAGGTGTGATTTGTGTGTTGAATTGTGCAGAGTGCTGCTCTAACTGTAGGGATGATACTGAAACAAACAAACAGTAACTAAATGCTCAGTGGACTTCAATTAGTTGCATTTCAATTACAGAGCTAATTAAACAGAACCAACGAAGAAGGCCTTATTTCATACATCCTGGAATCATGATCAGCTAATGGTGCATGTTGCATGCAGAGTGAAACTGCTTCTCAGAAGGTGGCACACACTATGCTGAAGAATATGTGACATGCACATATTTAGTAGATAATTACTTCTATGCTGTAGTTTTTACTCTACAGCTGTTGAAACAAGGAAGGAATATTCATGTATGCCAAGTGTGACACCTGCTCCAGTAACTGTAAGAAATTAGACTATTGTAATTACTGAGACATATTATGAGGGAGAGGTCTTATAAAATAACAAGAGCGCTAGTGTTTTGCATATTTTGTGGCACTTTCAGAAGTACAGATGAGAAAGGTGATGGAGTTGTCACTTATCCCAAAAGAATCCTTTCACACTACATGATAGAGCAAGTCTTATGAAATGCTTATTCAGATACAATCAATAAACTAGAAATCCTCAGTGAGTCTCAGACATATATCAATGATTCTTTTTCTACAGCTGAATGAGAGTAAACAAATGGAACAAGGTGGCCATAGGATTATTAATTCAACAATCAGCAAACGGGCCACGCTAATGGTTGTTGCTGCATAATTCTGAAATTATCTTGGGAAGAATCTGTCAGTGCAAATGCACTTACCACAAGCAGCATGTGCATCATGAGTGCTTTAGAGGTGCTCAAGGCTGTAATGGATCAGAAATGCTATGCAATTGAGTGGAAGCCCAGGCCAGTATCTCTCAGACAAAGCGTGCAGTGGATGTTGTTTCTGAAGCCTCTGTGCTAGTCATGTTTGTCCATCTTCTTGTTACCCATTTCTTGTTACCTACTTCCACACGGAGGCATCCACTGACAGTATATCATCTTGGGCTAAGAAACATCTGATTCTTCTTCCCACTCCCAGTCCAACCCCCTCCCTGCCTGCAGAGGCTAAAAAAGGAGGCAGGAGCAAGGCTGAGGGCAAGGAAGCATTGCTGTCCTAGGCAGGGAGCTGAGTCACCAAGGCAGAGAATCAACAGTCAGCTGCCAAACAACGGAGAGGGACCGAGTCCAACAGGCCCCTCTCTCACTGGGTCACAGGGTGCTCTGTTCATTTCCTGGCATACTTGAGGTTTTCTTTTGTTTGCCTTGAAGCCTGCCTTTGGCACAGGCTAGTGGGAAAATACACTTTGGCTTAAACAAAGTTCTTAGTACCCTGCTATTGTATTAGGTCACTCACATGTGTTTGGAAGTGGTGAAACAGCCCAGCCTGTGGATAGCTGGGCAGGTCGATCAGGGAGTTTGATTTTGGGATATAACATTTTCATTTGGTTAGTTAACGGACTTGGAGAAATGCAAAGCAATCATGACATTTCACACAGGAACAAGTTCTACATCTTCAGATGTTCAGGATACACTCTTGATGCTTCTGTTTTAAAAATGTGATGTAATAGTAAGTATTTTAGAAGAATTACTATATTTAGTCTTAGCCAGCCCTTCACAGTAAAGAAATGCCTGTACAGTTTATAAGGACGTTGAAACAAGTGTTGCCAGTTTTTATAGGTTAACACTTGATGCTTTCTAACTGCGAAATGTCTAATCCCGAACCACGCAGTGCAAGTATGCAGAGATTGCAGTGGGAGTCATCTGGAGTCAAAATAAAATAATTTTTCATCGGAGTTTGGTTTAACCATTTCATTCATTCATCTGCACGAGTTATAATTAATTTTTAAATGTTAAACAAACTTTGTTCTGAAAGTACCTGCATGTATCTCCCAGGTTCTTAGGCACAATTGAAGCTGTGAATGCTGATGTTGTTTTTCAGTCAGTCTCTGTCTCTTTTGACCATGTTACTGCATAGAGTAGGAAAAAGGCAGGGAAAAGATCCCGTGTAGCATAGGTGTAGAATGCAGATCCTGAAGTGTCCTGCTTGGGCCGTAGTACCATGTGCTCTGGTCTGTCTGGTGGCTGGTCTGCCAGAAATGGTCAAACAGTGGTGAGTTTTAAAGAAAATAAATCACAAATTTTAATTTCTGAATGCCTGTTCTCAGTCAGCAGGGAAGTATTTGGCAGTACAGGGATAGAGCATGGGAAGTGCAGTGTATTGAACCCATAATTAATATGGGTTCCTTTAGAAAAGGAAAAACCTCAGAACTTTATTCTTAGTATTCTTAGTATTCTTCTTCTGAGGACCAACCCTGTGCTGGTAAACCTGTGATAGATGTGATAGAACTGGATGAAGATAGGATCAGAGCAGATTATAAACAGGAAAATAAAGTTTAATGTGGGTAGTAATACAAAATATGAAAGACTGCCTTGTTTATGAAGGCATAGTTTTGAAAAGATAAAACATTTTAAAATGTACTGTGTCAGCTGCAGGAAGTTTTGAATGGAAGTTGATGGGTTATCTATGAAAAACGTGCTGGGTCACTATTTGTTCCTGGGTACAGATCCCTGTGAATCACATTTTAATGCACAGGAGGTCAGTGTACACCAGTGCTGCGGAAATGCTGGAGTCTGGAGCATTCCCCACGCACTGGAGGGGACAGCAGAGTGTCCCAGTGCCACCCTGTGCTGCGAGGCTCCGTCCCTCTGCCAGCAGAGAGCAGTGCAGCCCTTCGGCGGATTGCAGGGCCGTGGCTGGAAACACGTGTGGGAAACAAAGCGGGTGAGAGAGGAGGAATATACACAGAATACACAGAAGCGCTGAGCACAGAGGCAGACCTGAGTGTGAAGGTGGGACAGGGAAGATGCACTCGATGGGAAAAACAATGGAGAGTGGAGGCAATGCAAGGTGGGCATGAAAAGAGGACAGGAAATCCCAAAATACAGACTGTGCTAAAGCAAACTGGAGGCCTGAAGGATGAAAATAAAACATCTTTGAACAAGATTGTGGCATTCCTGTTACTCTGTGAGCCACAGGAGTGTTACAGTTCCTGGTGCTGGGCACAGAGGAAGGACGGGGACCCAGGATGTGCGACGAGTCTGTAGTACCACAGAGCAATATAGGTGTGCTTGTCTGGATTCAACATATTAATGCACTTCTTGTAGTGAATTGGGGTGAATTATCCCTATGTCTGCATGCTGATACTAATATGAGACTAACAGAGGAGAAAAACTCACGTGGTTATTTCCAAAATGTTGATCTTGGAATACATTGTTTCCCATGAAAGTGTTTTTGGCAGAGTGCACAGTTTGTATAGCATTTATTCCTGATTCTTACATTTGGTTTTTTTTTTTCCTGAACTAATTTGGCACTTCAATAATACATTGTATTAAGATGGTCAGATAAATTTCAGCTGCAGAGGATTGTGTTTCCTACATCTGACTCAAGAACTAAATCAGAAGCCAATCAAAAAGTGTGTGGAGCTGTCATTGTGTTTTAGGGAACACAGGAAAGGGGAAAAGGAGTCGTTATTTCTTGTAATGGGTACAGGATGTCCACAAACCCAGTTTATTAAGGATTTTCCCTCAGTTTTTAGCAGAATGTTGAAAGCAAATGCTTTTTTCTTCCTTTCTTCTAGTAGCATCTCCTGAACTCTTTGTAAGATGTCAGTCTGTTATGTAAAATCTGCAGTATTCTAATTGTGCTTTCAGGCTTACTTTGACCTTTTGAAATCATTACAACCCCCCCACCCCCTATAGCCCCCCATTTTTTCCTTACTCAATTGCACACAGGAATAGGGAAATAGGAATCCAATTTATTGTTACCCAGGTGGCGTTTCCTGTTACTTAGCTTTATAGTTTTCTGTATAGTAATTAGTATAGAAAGCTGGAGAGATGCCTGTAGCTCCAAAATGAACTCTCTGTAGCTCCCTCCCTCTCTCCCTCCCACTTGCGCTCTCCTTTTGGCACCGCCCCTTCCATGCGCCCTTTAGCCAGCAGCAAGACAGCTGTGTTTGATCATAAACCACTTAAACTCCAGCCTCACTGGCAGGGGAAACTTTAGCGTGAAGTGCAGCACTGGTTTCTCTAGGGGAAGGGAGCGTTCTTCTCTTTTCTTTCTGCCTCCCCAGATACTGAGAACTATAGCAGCACTCTCTTTTTAATTTCTCTGTGAACTTGTGTGAAGCTCATCAGATTTTTCTGAGTATGTTCAGCGGCATTGAGAGATGCCCTTTAACAGAGTTGTGGAAAAGAGCGGCGTAAAGCGGATAGCAGAGATGAAGCACGCCTTGTAGATGGACTAAGACAGCCCTGGGATCCTGGTAAGCACGTCATTCCCTGCATTCTCTGAGCACTTCACATTATTAACAAGCCTCTCTAAGCAATGGATTGTCTGTGAAGTCAAAGCCAGTTTGGCTCTTTTAGAAGGTCTTGCATCATAAACTTAAACTCTCAATGTGGAGTAAAAATGGCTGTCTAGAGCAAAATGTGTAAGAGAGAAAAATTTTGGAGAAGAAAGTATTGAATCAGTTGAACAAAGCTTTGAAGCATTACAATCTGCAGAAATCGTCAAGCCCTGAGAAGACTAATCATGAATTCTGGAGTTGCTATGAAATATGGAAATGAGTCCCCTGCAGAGCTGAGTGAGGTAAGCAGTTTCAGTGCCCTTCTTTACACTTTAAAAAGAAACATTCCCCATTCGGGCTTTCAGTCCGCGAGCAATGCAATTAAAAATTAATAGAATCTGTATCTTGCTATAGCTTGCTGTGCCAGTCAGGAAATGACCTGAACTTTTTTGCTGCTTTGCTCTGAATGAGTGGTGAAAGGCTAAAGATTGCAACCACGTATAGACGTTTTTCCTGTTACCCTGCAGCAGTGATTGCCTTCCCTCCAAGAGCTGTGTTTATACCCAACATTCATCTTTGCAGTAGGTGAAATATGGAGATCTCAGTTGAGATTAAACAGATGGTGATTAATTTAGGAGGGAAGTGGGGTGAGTAGAAAATGAAAAAAATTTATTGGTAAGACAACAACATTGACAGAAGTTGTTTTACTTGTATTTAGCCAAGGTGATACTGTTTGTTTAGGTTAGATGAATTAGGTTACTTTCCTTCCTTGCCTAAAAAGAAAACAAGTCATGAGAAACTTTTTCTTTTTTCACTGGAAACCACAGTCAAGCTGTTATTTCTTATAATTGTGGTAATGTTTTAGTGTAACATGATTGTGTGTGTTTTTAATAAATTTGAAATTAAAGCCATATCAGATGTTATGCAAATTCTTAATAAATACTTTAGAAGTGGCATACTTTTTCAGTTACTGGAATGTCTTAGATGTGTAATCCTTATGGGCTTTACTGAGAACTGTTAATTTAGTTATGCTATGAAATCCCAATCATTTGATTAAGGTAATTTGGTAGGAAATTGAATCCACAGTCTGTCTTGTCCCAGTTTAACTGAAGTGCTTCTCTGTTCCTTTTGCCCATTTTTTGATACACCTTTTACTGTGATGTATCCTGTATATGCTAGGTTTTTTAAGGATAGGATATGCTTGGCAGAATAAGAGAGTTAACAGTTTCTGGAGTTAATTGTATAGAGAAAGGAGACACTGAGGTTTCGAATGGAACAATAATATAAGTGGAATAAATCAGTAGGCTAGTGAGGGAGAAAACAATGTAGAAGGAAGCACAGTAAATAGGTGAGACTTAAGCAAGTGCTGTACTGCCCTACAAGAGGAGAGTAGATTTTTTACTGGGAGGTTCTGACAAAAGCAACATCATATGTGTTTCTCCTTAAAGTAAAAGTAGTTCAATTTCATTATTTCTGTGTTACTTTTATCAAAGTATTGCTTAGAAATTTTATATTGGCATTTCAGCATAAGTGTGGCTCAAAAATTCAGCATAAAAGCCTGGGTTACTTTTGGTCGGAGTTTCTGGCTGTGGTTTTATTGGTGGTGATTACTGCTTTCTATTCCCTCAACATTTAATTTTCAAGACTTTGCAAGATAAAATAGATCATGGAGTGTCTCAAATAATTGATATTGGAGTCAATATTTGGAGTAGGTAGTATTTACATTGCTACCTTGAAATTACTTATTCACGTTTCCTTCATGCATCGACTGAATAAGACTTTTGTTGTGAGAAATACCTTTTCTTTCTGATGTTTTAGCATGGGAGATATTGAAGGAGTCTGTGACTATGCAACATTGTCATTGTTTAGTTGGGATTTTTTTTCTCAACAACCTTTCTTTAGTCCTTAGTTCACTTTTGGACTCCAGTGCTACAGAAGAGTTAGTAACAGGTTCCTTTTTGTCTGCAGACATAGCAGAGAAGATCGTAAAACTCCTAACTTTCCACAGCTGCTTATCATCATTTGTTTGCTATTCATCTTCATCTTTGCAGTTTGAGCTGCTTGTTTAGTGAGCCTTAGCCAGTCGCCAATAAGGTCTGGGCCAGCTTCAGCAGTGATCTTGGGTAAAACACTGTGTTTTCAGTGAAACATGGAAGCCTCACAGAAACATCATATTCCACCTCTCTAGGGAAGATGTGTAAGTGCTTTGAGATGTAGTAGATAGCTGCTCACCCCTAATTGTTAATTTCTCAAATAGCTCTCTGCAATATCTGTGCTTCTATTAGACCTTTCCCTCTTGGGAAAGGTCTTACTTGATTGGTACTGGCTATAATTGAAGGTAAAATGTCCTGGGTAAAGCTTGTACCTATGGTTTATGTATCTGTATTTTTCCCATCTTTGTTGTGCTCTTCTCCTTCCTTTCTGGCTCTGTCTTCTATACACCCTGTTTGTTTTGATCAATGAAGGACAGTAGCCTTATGTTCATTTAAATTATGGAGAAATGGCTACAACAGGAATTTGAATAAATGGCTGATGTCTTAGTTAGTGTCCACCTGCACCTCTATCTCTACCGCTCATATGCTGATATTACAGTGGGCTGCTACTGCTGTACATATCTGAATGGCAAATATGATAACAGACCAAGAAATACTATGATTCACATGACACACAGTGGGTTTTCGTGTAGGTGCCTTAATCTCTTTATCTCAGTATGTGGAGCTCTAGGCATGGAACTACTGTTATTAAAATAAACAGGAAAGCTACAAAGCCCTGAAGACATAATAAAGGCATTCTTAACTGGATGCATTAGACAAAAGAGAAAATAAATGTATTGCAATTCGTTCCATCTGTATTAGAACTTTTTACCTGAGATTTTCATCTCTTTCGCAAGAATTACAGGATGTGTTTCTTGTGTGATTGTACAAACTTGTGTATAGTTGATGTTGCTATTCCTAAACTCTTCTCCAGGTAAACAGGAATCTTGATAGTCTTTATTTAGTCGCCTGCCCCCATTCAAAGGTCATGCAGAAAGCAGACCAAAAAAATCTGATTTCTGTTGTAGGTTATTCAGACCTCCACAAAACTTAAACTATGTGGTTCCCCAGCTCCAGAGTTCAAGCTGTTTTCTTACTGAAACGTGTCAGTTCATGTTACCCCATTTCTGCTCTTCTTTGCCTTCAAGTTTCAAGTCCAAAGAAAGAAAGATTATCCAGTTTACTGTTTGCATGGTGGATTTGTCATGGTGTACCTGCCTAGAGAGTTAGAGGAAACCTTGTTCTTACATAGCAAGGTTAGGCTTGGTGGTTTGTTTGGCTGGGGGGTTTCTTTGATATATATATAAGATATAGTAAGAGAGGCAACACTGTTATGTAGTCTGTGAGCATCTACAGCTGCCTGTGGTACCTTTGTAAATAGGCAACAGTAGCCAAAAAAGCTCTGTTCTACTTTTCTAAAATGGGCCTTTACCACAGTTTGCAGAGATTGCCTTTAAAGCTTGAATCAAGGAAGAATGTGATTTTTATGTATAACTTAATACCCAGATTATGAAAGCTCTCATTGGATCCCTTCAACTTCTTACTCATATAATTCTGAAAGCCTTTGTTGTAAACACAAGGCATATTTTTACAGCCAACATAATGAATTTTACTGAAAACATGTACAGGTTAACAGTGGGGTGTCCATAATTGCAAACTGTTTTACACATCATTAGAAATGAAACTTTGTATCAGAATTTAAATGCTTTGCACCTATTATATTGTCTATTCTGCAGAAAGAGGTGTTCGTCTAGAAGGAGATAGATTGCCTAATCTTTATTTTCTTCCATATTCAATGGCTGGTTTTAAACTACCTGGTTTTAAACCCCAGCATTCTGAGGAGGTACTCCTGACATACACTGATTTTACCTGCTTCCCTGGCCATTCATTGTGGAGATGATGTACTGAAATAGAGAGGGCTGTTATCTGACTTGATACACCTGTTGGACTGAATGTGGCCAGCAGTTATTCCTGTGCCTAATGCTGGGACAGTTAAAATTAGTAGTGCAGGAATGTGAAGGAAATGTTAAATGCCGAGCTTAATGATCTTTTTCTCAACTGTATACTTAAGAGATAAATTTTATCCTTGAATTAAAAGCCAAGCTGTGTTCTTTGCTATAATTTTCATTAAGTGAGCCTTGTGGATTTGCTGGTAATAAGACTGTGCCAAAGAGATTTTGTAATGATGTAAGGGCTGATATTATAGTAAAGCGATATGTTCAGCATTGCAGCTGATTTGTATTATGTTACTATTTATTGTGGATTTTTAGCACTTGCTGCATGAGTTGGTCGTGTATAACATCTGAAAAGTTTATTATTTTCTGCATGGCAAAATTAGGAGATAGCATGCTGCTTTAGGTGCACACTTTATACCTCCTGCTTCTTGATGTTTGGAGGTCAAGTGTTTAGGATACTGCTGTTGTATGTGACAGCATTAGTTACAGTTTCATATTCTTTAATCCTTCAACATTGAGTGGAATAAACAGATGGGCTGTTTGTCTTGGAAAGATTACTAACTTTTTTGTTTGTTTCGACAAGATGTTTAAAATTTAAGGGAGGGAAAGGAAGGAAAGGCTTGAAAGCTGGTGTTTGTAGGAAGAAGAAAAATGAGTTTGTGCAAAGGATTTCACAAAAATCTTACATGTGAAGAAAGGACCAAGTCTGAAAGGCTTAAATTCTGTCTTTTTAGTAATTTTACAGTAGGACAATATTGCACTTCCTTCTTAGATTTGTGTTCCACTGCTGCTCTACTTAAAAAGTAGACTCTGATGAACAAAATTGTTGGAGAATTGCAGAAATAAGAGAGGGGTAGCATGGTTTGGAGTTGTGTGCACAAGACCAGTGAGTGTGAGGGAGCTGTGGGATGAGGTGGGTAACCAGCAGAAGCAGGACATCACTCAAAGCCTCCTGGCAGAGTTCAGAAGGGACCATCCCCACCCTCAGGTACTTTCTCATATGTGCCTCTGTTCCTTTAGAACAAGTGCCAGCTTGTGCTGTCACTGTACCTAGGTGTGGGGAAAGAGCACTGATGAAATTGGGAAGAGGTTTTTTTATGTCTTCCAAGGTAGGTTTAAATCCCAAACACTTGTTTTATCTTCCTGACCTTGGTAGTCTTCCAAGAAAATCAGTGAGCAAATATCACCCCAGTACTTCATCAGCTTCCTGAATGGTCTCTGGTCATGCAATAAATGTGCCAGGGTATTTCCAATACCTCTCATGAGCAGGTAAACACCATATTCTACTGCAATTCCATCTCTGCTACAGGCTAT